TGAGACAGTCTCACTCTGTCACCCAGGCTGTAGTGTAGCAACACGATTGCAGCTCACTGTAGCCTCGAACTCCTAGGCTCATGCGATCCTCCCATTTCAACCTCTAGAGTAGCTAGGACTATAGACGCACACCACCACGCCCAGCTAATTTTTGTATTTTTTTGTAGAGACAGGGTCTCACTATACTGCCCAGGCAGGTTTCCAACTCCTGGGTTCAAGTAATCCAGCCGCCTTAGCCTTCCAAAATGCTAGGACTACAGGCATGAGCACTGCACCTGGCCATTTTTTTTTCTTTGAAACGGTCTCACTCTGTTGCCCAGGCTGGAGTGCAGTGGCACAATCAGCTCACAGCAGCCTTGAACTCCTGGGTGTAAGCGATCTCCCCAGCTCGGTCTCCCCAATAACTGTAACTATAGGTGTGTGCCACCATACCTGGCTATTTTTTTTTGGAGACGGGATCTTGCTATGTTGCCCAGGCTGGTCTTGAACTCCTGGGCTCAAGAAAGCTGCTCATCCCCACCTCCCAAACTGTTGGGATTACAGGCATTGAGCCGCATGCTTGGTCAAACTCCAGCCTTGAATATTAGTAATTTTGCCATATTGGTTTACCACCTGTACTATTATTTGCTTTATGTTTTTCTTTAAAATGGCTCATTATTCACTTAATAAAATTATTGTAATAGGAATCTTTTTTGGTATCACTTCTGTAAATGGAAAACCAGTCTCATCTGCCATCAGTAGAAGGTAAAACATGAAAATAAATGCAATGTAAACAAAATTCTTGAGATCTAAATTCTGTTCCCTACTGGAAGCATTAGCCTAAAACTCTGCTTTTGGTTAACAAGAAAAGGGAGTGATGATCCGCAAGTCAGTAAGTGTTAGATACTCTAGCACCACACTGAGACCTTCTCCCGGAAGTGCCGAGGCAGGCAGGCAGCCCTGCACAGGGGGCAGGATGCTGTGTTGTTTAATGCTGGCCAGGAAGTTCACCCACAGCCAGGAAACATGCACTCCTTCCTGCACAGAGGGCTGAGGAACACTTGAGCCTCCCATCTAATCCCTTGACCTCCCCTCTAATTGTTGGGATGTTGGAAGTTGAAGGAGCAGCTAGAGCACCAGGCAGAGGGACCGAGAGCCTAGTCTAGCCTCTTCCCCCAGGTGTACTCACTGGCCAGCAGCCTAAGCACCGTCTCTGAGCTGGGCACTGGGAGGGGAGGAATCAGACCTGGGGCCTGCCCTCAAGGAGCTCACAGTCTCTCTAGTGACAGGATGGAGGATAGAGGTAGGGGTGAGCTAAGATATGGACACAGAGCTGATGCCAGGTAGAGACCAGGGCCCTGTCCCATCTCTGTCACTCATGAGCTGGGTAACGACATCCTTATCATCGTCACCATCAGCTGACAGCACTAGGTTGTGGAGACTCTGCCCACGAGGAGTGAACAGACCTCAGAGAAACAGAAGACAGAGACAGGTCTTCAGAGCTTAGATGCTTCCATGCCATGGGCTTAGGAGAGGCACTGCAGTGTGGAAGGAACACAGGGACAAGGCCCCGGTTCATGATCTGGCTCCACCTTACTCACTTAGAGACTTCGGCAAAGCGGGTGTTGTATTATGGGGACTTGTGTAGTTTTTTCATGTACAAAAAGGGAGCTGAAAATTGAACAAGATGTTCTATTGGGACTTTTCTAGTTGTGACATTTGAGGATGCTGTAAAATGAAAGATGGTCAGATGGATGGATGGATGGATGGATGGATGGATGAATGGATGGATGGATAAATGGATGGATGGATGAATAAATGGATGGATGGATGAATAGATGGATGAATGGATGAATAAATGGATGGATGGATGGATGGATGGATGGATGGATGGATGGATAAATGGATGGATGGATGGGAGAATGGATAGGTGAAGGATTGGATGTGTGGATAAGCACGTGGATAGATAAACAGATGCACTGATACATGGATTTGTGCATGCAGTCTTCCTAAGGCAGAGTCTAACTTGCTATCTGCAGAGCCATCTTTATGTTCCCAGACCACCTGGGAATATAAAGCACTCTTGTCACCCAAGCTGGAGTGCAATGGCATGATCTCAGCTCACTGCAACTTCTGCCTCCCAGGTTCGAGCAATTCTCCTGCCTCAGCCTCTGAGTAGCTGGGATTAAAGGCATCCACCACCACGCTTGGCTAATTTTTGTATTTTTAGTAGAGACAGAGTTTCACCATGTTGCCCAGACCAGTCTTGAACTCTGGACCTCAGGTGATCCGCCTGCCTTGTCCTCCCAAAGTGCTGGGATTTCAGGCATAAACCACTGCACCTGGCCTAATTTCTAATTTTTTTTTTTTTTTTTTTACTAGAGACGGGGTTTCACCATGTTGATCAGGCTGGTCTCGAATTCCTGACCTCAAATGATCCACCCGCCTCAGTCTCCCAAAGTGCTGAGATTACAGGCGTGAGCCACCGCGCCAGGCCCCCATTGCTATCTCTTACCCTAATGATCCCCGCATCTCCATCTCCAACAGTAGCAGATGTGGTCTTCCTAGATCTATTCTCCCATTATTCTAAAGGAACAGCACTACCTCTGATATGGTTTGGCTGTGTCCCCACCCAAATCTCAGCCTGAATTGTAATTCCCATAATCCCCATGTGTCCTGGGAGGCAACTGAATCATGGGCATGGTTACCTCCATGCTGTTCTCATGATAGTGAGTAAGTTCTCACAAGATCTGATGGCTTTATATGGGGCTTTCCCCCATTTTGCTTGGCATTTCTCCTTGCTGCCACCATGTGAAGAAGGCCGTGTTTTCCTCCCCTTCTGCCATGACTGTATAAGCTTCCTGACGCCTCCCCAGCCATACTGAATTGAGAGTCAATTAAATATCTTTCCTTTATAAATTATCCAGTCTTGGATATGTCTTTATTAGTAGCATGAGAATGGACTATTCTTTTTTGAAATGGAGTCTCACTCTGTCACCAAAGCTGAAGTGCAGTGGCGCAATCTCAGCTCACTGCAACCTCCGCCTCCCAGCTTCAAGCAATTCTCTGTCTCAGCCTCCCGAGTAGCTGGGATTACAGGGGCCCACCACTGCACCTGGCTAACTTTTATATTTTTAGTGGAGACGGGGTTTCACCATCTTGGCCAGGCTGGTCTTGAACTCCTGACTTCGTGATCCAGCTGAGGCAGGTGGATCATGGCCTCCCAAAGTGCTGGGATTACAGGCGTGAGCCACTGCACCCAGCCTTTTTTTTCTTTTTTGAGGCAGAGTCTTGCTCTGTTGCTGAGACTGGAGTGCAGTGGTGCAATCACAGCTCACTGCAGCCTTGAGCTCCTCGGGTTTGGGTAATCCTCCCATGTCAGCCTTCCAAGTAGCTGGGACTACAGGTGTGCGCGACCACACCAGGCTACTTTTTGTATTTTTTGTAGAGATGGGGTCCCACCATGTTGGCCAGGCTGGTCTTGAGCTCCTGGGCTCGAGCGATCCACCTGCCTCAGCTTCCCAAAGTGCTGAGATTCTAGCCGTATGCCATGCACTTGACCAGCACCATTCTTTTTAACTGGGCTTGTGGCCACACAGAGGAAAGGCTGCATTTCCCAGACCCCCTTGAGGCTAAGGGCGACCATGCGACTGGTTCTGGCCCCCTTCCCCACTCCCCTTTCTCTCCCCTGCTGTTTAGAATCCAGACATGATGGTGAGACAACGTGGACAAGGGCAACATCCCAGGGTTAGCTGAGCCGGAAGATGGAAGGAGCCTGAATCTCTGTGGCCAGCACAGCAGCCCTGAACTTCCTGCCTTGGTGTAATTGAACCAGCGCTTTCTTTTGTATAAACCACTGTTGTCCTGGGTCTCTGTAACATGAACCCAAGCCTCTCTCTTAACCTATGTCTCTCTCCTGACTTCAAACCCTATCTAACAGCCATCTTGATATCCCCCATGAAGACCTCAAAATTATCTTAGAATGCGTGACCACCCCCACCAAGCCTGATCCTCTCCCCACTTTCTCCTTGGCTCCTTTCCGTCTCCTCTCACGCCCCTGACTTCTGCCCGCTTTTTCTCATGCTTACTTCTTCCATCCTGGTTCTGCTCTACTCATTGCTCCTAAACTGCACCTAAATAGTCTCCCTGTCTGCATTTCCCATATTGTGCCTGGAGTGAACCTAAAAAAAAAAAAAATGCTTAAAAGGGTCAAACGTGGTGGTTCACGCCTGTAATCCCAGCTACTCAGGAGGCTGAGGTGGGAGGACTGCCTGAGGCCAGGAGTTCGAGACCAGCCTAGGCAACCTAGCAAGACCCATTCTCTACCAAAAAAAAAATGTATTTATTTATTTATTTTATTTTATTTTATTTTTTGAGACAGAGTCTTGCTCTGTCACCCAGGCTGGAGTGCAGTGTTACACTCTCAGCTCACTATAGCCTCCGCATCCCAAGTTTAAGCGATTTTCCTGCCTCAGCCTCCCAAGTAGCTGAAATTACAGGTGTGCACCACCACACCTGGCAAATTTTTGCATTTTTAGTAGAGATGGGATTTCTCCATGTTGACCAAGCTGGTCTCCAACTTCTGACCTCAGGTAATCCACCCATCTAGGTCTCCCAAAGTGCTGGGATTACAGGCATGGGCCCCCACACCTGACCAGGTTTATACAAAAACTTAAAAAATAAATTAGCCAAGCATGATGGCTCATGGCTGTAATTCCGGGAAGCTGAAGCAGGAGGATCCCTGGAGGTTAGGGGCTTAAGGCTACACTGAGCTATGATCACACCACTAAACTCCAGTGTGGATGACAGACAGAGAATCCATCTCTAAAGAAAAAAAATTGCTTAAGATTTTCCAACTCCTGATCATTTCAACAAACACTCCCTCCCTTTTGGAACATCCGTATTCCTCCCTCCCGTTACTTGGTCTTGGCTAATTCTTACTCTTTAGGTCTCAACCTAGCTGTCA